ACTGTCTTCCGATCTAATGGTACACTTGTCCACTTGCTAGTTCACTGCTTATGATCTATGTATGCAACTGTTGAAGAATTTGTATTGAACCACGAACAGCCATAGCTTTTGATTTTAAACCAGATGACCTATAGTGTCTGAAAATGTTGCTTCATTTTTCACGTAGAGATCAGTCTATTAATTGAATGATGAAATGACTGGCCATAAACTCAGTAGTCATATTTCTTCTGGAATTCCTGATCTGAAGAGGAATATTGCCCCTTAAGAATCATTTATACATCTTTCCTGTTAGATATCACCTGAAGATATTAGGTGGGAACGAGAAGATTCTGTAGTATCTCGCAGTGGTGCTCGCCCTGGACACGGGAGGGGCAATAAGAAGTCCATGACACGAGGTGGTGCAGTGGCTGGTGGTGGAAGGGGCAGAGGGACTACAAAGGGTCAATCTAGGAAAGACTTACCTGTATCTCAAAATGGATCTCAAAATGGATCTCGGAAGCAGGCTATGGGTGATATTGAAATACTTCACACCGACACGCTGATTAAGGAGGTGTGCAAGAGCTAATATGATTTTGTTCTACCATTCTTTTGTTTTTTCTTCTTTTGTTGATTTAAGTGATGACCTTTGTTTTCCTTGTTGCTGGAGTTGTTCAAACAGGTGGAAAAGGTATTTGGTGCTAATCATCCAGATCCCATGGAGATTGAAAAGGCTAAGAAAGTGCTGAAAGTATGAATCGTTTAACCTTGACCCCCATTGCTATGACTTTATTTATACAACTTATTCTGAGTCTATTCAAATGCAGGACCATGAACAATCCCTTGTCGACGCAATTGCAAGGCTTGAAGATGCATCGGACGGTGAGAGTGGTAATAACTAATTAAACATGCTTACTGATGTACAGTACATAATTTAAATGATATTGCATTGGTTGTGTATACGTACATGGTGCCTAAAAACCTTCATTTTCTTCTACTATGCTTTCTTTTTATCAACGTCAATGGTCTCCCAATTTTGTAAAAATTCCTCACTCCAATTATAGACTTCTATTCATTATCAATATATTGGTAATAGCTTTTTATCACCAAACCTTAGCAAGATCTGATCATTAAACTTGCATCTTGAGTTATGGATTGTACCATTTCATCACCCCAAATCTCAATGGATTATGTCTCTTTTTCTAGTTTGAAATAGCAAGAACATTGTTAAATCGGGCTACTTTGGTAGCAAGAACACTACGTTTCTTCCTCGTTTTATTATTTCTTTTTTGGGATTTAAGCAGATGGAAGAGAACCATATTCTCAAGGACAATCAATGGTTCGTGTATGAACGACGATGTAAAGTGGACGAAGCTCCAAAATGGCCAAATTCTTAAACCTGCAGGATTGCTAATAACTGATGGCAATGGTGATGAATTGCATTAGTTGAATGGAAAACTCAGCAGAACACTCGCTCCGGTTTGGCGTTTTCAAACTTTAATGATCAACCGTGCTATTATTGGTGTCTTGGCCTTCCAGAACGCAGACTTCACGCCCATTTGATGCCATCTTTTGATTGTACTAAGAGTTATTGTTTTATTTTGATCTCTAGCTTTAACTTCAGAAGAAAGATTATTTCTGTAAAACTTTATTCAAAAGTCAATAGAATCTATGTAGATTAGTTCTTGCTTTTTACTGTAATAATGCACAATCTGTTAAGCCAAAGCCTTCGATTTTCTACACAACATTCTGAACAAGTTGAACATTCTACAAAGAAGAAATAAAACTAAGGATAAGATTCACCATTTGAGCATCATATGCAGGGCCTTCCATTTCAAAGTGGCTCACACCTTCTATTAGATGTGTTTCGTTACGTCCTGCTGCAGATTTCAACTTGTTCTGCAATTGTTTCACGCTCGTAAACCCGTCCCGTGTGCCCATCACGAAAAGCTTTGGTTTCGGAGACTGTAAGATGGCTTTGTGGTGTCTTCCAAAAAGAATTGAAGCAGTTAGGCCAAAGGGATAGCCAAGGCTTAAATAGCCTACCACTTGTTCTATCAAATCCACAGATGAGCCTGCAATGGGGGCGCCTGCAAAAGACACAATTACAAGTGATTCAGAATAATTCCATCTGCTCTCTTTCTGCCCCACAAATTAAGAGAAAGTAATGTTCTTGGTCCAATAAACTTTATTAGATGCATCATCAATGTGGTACCACATCCTCTCTTATTCCACCTTCAATCTTGCTTTGACACAATATTTCTTCCAAAAAATCGGACTGCAACGAAAATACAAAATCATAAAGCAAAACATTGTAACAATCTAAGTCTACTACTAATAGGTATTGTCTGCTTTGATTGGTTACGTATTATTATCAATCTTATGATTTTAAAATGCATCTACTTCGGAGAGGATCTAGTCCTATTCCGATCAGTGCCTCGCCCTGTCCGGTCACTAGCTCAAGTTTGGCAATTTAAAACGAGAAGGCGAAAGGGTGTAGAACCTGTCCCAAGATGTGGTATTGAATTACTTCAATACAGCTTATCCTGGAATGATCTTAGATCTTAGATGGTTCCAGATGGTACAAGTTCATCCTTATAAAAAAAGAAAAATAGCAAAGAACTATAGACAAGGAGGCAACCATCCACAGATAAAATGATGACATTGCCATTGAACTAAAGAACACCTGCTCAATCAAGAAACAGAGAAGAAAAACCAAGCCTAAGTTCAAAGAAAAGCTTCCATTTGATCAATTCTTCAGATCTCAGAAAACTATTCTCAGAATTCATTGTACAAACAGATATCAAAATGGCAAAGTAGAAGAACAAAATCAGGCAGCCAATCTAAGGAACAATTCACCAACAAAGGCCAAAATCCAGCCACAACCACACAAAATTCCATAGCATAAACACATAAGAAAAACAAAAAACAAAGTACCTGCAGATGAACCCACCAACAAGATTCGATTAACAGACAAATTCTCGCAAACCCAGTTGCAAACAGCAGTGACATCCTTAATTTCTGCGAATCCAGTCAAAGAAGGCCTACCAGACGATTTCCCAGCACCTCTCATATCAAAAGTCACAGCTCTAAAACCCCTCTCCGCTAAGCCACCAGCAATTCCTCTCAAAAGGCCTTGACAACCACCCAAAACCGAGTAGGGATGGACCAAAACAACCACCAGATTTTCCCTATCTTCCTCATCTGTTGGCTTGAAAACCCTCGTGTGGAGCTTGACACCATTACTGGTCTCGACTTTACAAGAGTCGACGGTGCAGTTCGGCATCGCCGAGAGTTGAAAAAACAACCGGCGACGAAGAGGAAGTGAAGGCTTGTGAAGTGGAGAAAAGGATTTGAAATGAATTTGGTTGGACAAAAATCTGACGAAAATGGTAGAGAAAGGGTTTAATTTGGTGGGGAAAGCAATTGAGAATGAAGCTTCTTTGTGGAAAACAAAATAAAAATATGTTGGAAAGTTGATCCTTCGTTCATTGTCTGGCTGGAGTTTGGTGGTTGAGTTATTAACTTGTGAACAGGTTCAAAAAGAAAAAAAAAGCTAACTCAACCCGATCATTATGATTTTGGTTAAATTGTAACGATCCAGATCTACCATCGCTGGCAGATATTGTCCTCTTTAGACTTTCCCTTTCGGCTTCCCCTCAAGCCTTTAAGCAGATATTGTCCTCTTTAGACTTTCCCTTTTGGGATTCCCCTCAAGCCTTTTAAGCAGATATTGTCATTTTGGGTAATGATCTAGATCCACCGTCGCTGACAGATATTGTCCTCTTTAGACTTTCCCTTTCGGGCTTCTCCTCAAGGCTTTAAAATGCGTCTGCTACGGAAAAGTTTCCACACCTTTATAAATAGTGGTTTGTTCCTCTTCCTCGACCCTTTATAAATAGTGGTTTGTTCCTCTTCCTCGACTTTCCCTTTCGGGCTTCCCCTCAAGGCTTTAAAACGCGTTTGCTACGGAAAAGTTTCTACACCTTTATAAATAGTGGTTTGTTCCTTTGTTCCTCCTCCCCAACCAATTTGAGACATCACATCTACTAGCGGTGGATCTGGGCCGTTACAAATGGTATCAGAGCTAGAGACCGATCGATGTGCCAGCCTTCTCACTATTCCCCGAAGGAGAGTAGACACGAGGCGGTGTGCCAGTAAGGACGTTGGGCCCTAAAAAGAGTGAATTTGGGGGCGGTCCCACATCGATTGGAGGAAGGAAAGAGTGTCAGCGAGGACGCTAGGCCCCGAAGGAGGTGGATTGTGATATCCTACATTGGTTGGGAAGGAGAACAAATCACCATTTATAAGGGTGGAGAAACCTGAAAAGGAAAAGTCCAAGAAGGACAACATCTACTAGTAGTAGATCTGAAGCGTTACATAAATAGTCCAAATGAATTAAATTTTCGAGTCAAATGAACACCTTTATTTGTGCATTTTGATTAGAGGCGAATATACAATAGATTCATGAGTTTTTTTTTTTATAAATTCAAGATCATAGACAGATACTTGAAAATCAAGAGAATTATTTAGTTCAGCAACAGTTAATTAGACACATAATTAAAAAGTTAAAAAGAGATAAAAGAGATGGTATATACTTCTTAAAATCATTTACATGGTTGCTAAACTAAACACAAATTAGAGAATAATCCTTTTTTTTTTTTTCCCTACTTCAAAAAAACATGGTGATTCCCAAGTAATACTAACATTACAAAGGAACAAAACAAGAACAAAACAAAGAGATTGAAAATAGGAGAAATATTATAAACCACAACTAACTCCACTGAAGGGCTCTCAAGCTCTCTTAAAATTCTCCAATTTATTTCTACAAACCCAGAAAAGGTCTCCCCCATATCTTGAAGCACAGCAGGTGGAAGCATCACCATCACCTCCAATATCAAGTGGCAAGATGATCACAAGATGATCCATCAAGGCCCCAACAACACAGATAAACATCTGGAATAGAGTCAGAGTCACTAACTAATCTTACATACATTCTATTGACTTTTGAGTATCAAGTGGCAAGATGATCACAAGATGATCCATCAAGGCCCCAACAACACAGAAAAACATCTGGAATAGAGTCAGAGTCACTAACTAATCTTACATGCATTCTATTGACTTTTGAGTATCAAGTGGCAAGATGATCATCGATCTATATGAGGTTCTAACATGGAGAATGAAAAGGAAATGGAAGAGTGAGTGAGAGTCACATAAGGGAGAGAAACTCTTGTCCACCACGAAGAATACCTTGTTTTCCACAACCAAGGAAAAAAGGAAGAAGATGTGTTTCTGTTCAACCGTTCACGAATGAGAACGGGGAGTTCAACCTCATAAGTTTCGCCTGCGTTGGTCATATATCAGTCGTTCAGTACAAAGAATGTGAAAGTGAAAATTTGAATATCAGACTGTAAGAAAGAAAGAGTAGACCATCTAAAATTTCATTCATCCAGGATTTCGACCCAAGATCAGCCTTTCATTTATCTTATTGAAGCTAGATAATATGGAATCATAGATCCATATATAGTTTTTTAGTAGGTAACATACATGCTAGTCTCACATACCGAAATAAACAGTTTATCCATGGTCATTTCAAGCCCTTTCTTTCTTCATCCGTGTCATGCATCGGCCCCTGATCCTGATTGCATGTCAATGTAAAATCGGGCACCACCTCAATGTTCTCATCAGGCTATTAAAAGAGTAGGAGGGAGGATAGTCAAAACAAATGAAAATTATTGGAAGATATTTCGATCAAACGAAAAGGGAACACGACGGTAGTACCTGCCACAGTTTCAAAAGATACCATAGCAAAAAGTCGATGATCATCACTAAACAAAAAAGCTTTCCTGCCCACGATCCACACGAGAGATACCTGAAATATAGATAATAGTTGTAACGACCCCTCAATATTATTTTACAGGCAGCAAGTTGCACCGAAGGACAAATCAGATTACTCAAGTTTTTGGACATCGGGCTAGCTTAATTGAGGGTTAATATTTGGTTCAAATACTATTTTGACCATGTACTTCAGGTTTCGTTCCATTTTAACCCTTGTACTTTCAACCAACCCTAAAATTAGTCGTTTGAAGCTAGAAGTTGGTTAAATAATAATATAATTTTCATGCAATAAAAGCTTTGAGTTCCCATTGAAACATATGAATTATCGCATACCTGGAGAGTCGTTCAAGAAGATTTTGATCCGAGCTTTTCACGGCATAGTCATATACAATAACTGTCCTCCTTGCAACATCATGCCAATCATACAATTTCTTCATCTAAGAGTTTTTTTTAGAATGAGAGAATAATATTAGTACATATAGATATTCCAAGATGTTCATAGGGAAACGTTTCTTCTTCTTTCCTTCAAATAATGCACTCACACGATTATGCATTTCTTGTGGGTCAATCTTAGGAAGTATGGTAATTGCCTTCTTAATAGCTTGTACCATATCACCGGGATCTGGTTCTGCGAGTACAACCATGTCATCTGGTAGAACCTAACAATAGAACATGAATAGACAAAGTATAAAATGAACCAAAAAGTTCGAGAACCTCGAAGTATAGGAACCAAAATGATATTATATATGAAATATGAAAATAGAAGAGGTAAAAAGGAATTTCTATTCTCGACCACCTCGGGCACACCTCCAACACGCGTACTAACGGTTAATAATCCACAACTAGCAGCCTCTAATATGGCTATGCAAAAAGCTTCCGTTAAAGAACTGCAAGAATGGTAACAATAGAAACATCAGAGAGCTAAAATTAAAGATTTTTTTCAAAAGAATGAAAACATTTAGTTTAAAGCTCTACAATAAAATATGTACTTCAAGTATAAACTCAAGAAATGGCAACCTATTTAGAAATATATGGCCAGATATAAGGACTGATCGAACTCGAGCATGTGGAACAGCTCCCAACATCTCAACTCGATCTTGAAGTCCATGCTTTTCCCTCATCTCTTCTAGCCGCACACGTTTTGGTCCATCTCCTCCAATAATGAACCGCACCTATGAAAATTACATGTAATCTAAGGATCAAATACTCCAATTACTTCTTTCTGCAGAGGAACATACTGATGACTTGAAAATGCCATCCTTACTCCACAACATGATGATCATACTAATTAATGCCATCTACTCAATTATACTCATCATGCACCATCTTACTTGAAATTTTAAGTTGAGAGAATTTTTTAAAAAAAAATAATTGAGGATGCATATAAAATTTGACTTAACCAAAATCATATGATCATCCAAGCTGAAGTGTCCTCGTGCGAAGTAAGCTATCAATATCATGCTTAAATGTCCCCATGAAGTACAATAAAACTTGACAAATGGCAAAACAAATAAACCATAGTACCATTGAACAAGGAAGTCAAGACTTGAAAACCAAATGAAACAGCCATTCATAGCCAAGTATAAGTTCAGGTGAATCAACCACATATGACAAGCATGGCAAAAGTTAACACTTTAAATAGACATTAGTTTGACATGAAACTTACATTAGCAAACATGCGACAGACTTCGGGAATGACTTCAACAAGCAAATCTGCCCCTTTGCGATAAACTAATCGACTTACAACCACAATGATAATCTCACTTGTACTGAGACGGTTCAAAGCAGGCTTAAACATAGCAGTATCGACAGCATTAGGTACTACAAAAACTCTTTCTGGTGGCAAACCTGATCGTAGAACTGTGTTCTCCTTACTAGTATGTGAAACACATATAGCCTCAGTAACATCTGCTAAAGTAAATTGCAATACTTTGTTCATGTGGATGCTTCCCACATCAGCAAAACCATAGAGTGAATGATCAGTAAATACAACCTTGTATCCCATGGTTCTTGCATGCATCAAAGCTTCGTGACAGAGAGTTGAAAAGGCCTGGTGTCCATGCACTAATGTAATTTTTTCTCGAATCAAGATTGTCCTGACTATTGGAAGGGTCCCGTAGAAAGTTGGCAATGTATTTTGCATCACAAACGGTTTCCACGGTACATAATACACTTTTAGGCCTCCTGTCATGTATCTCACACCACTACGGTTTCCATAAGCATGAGTCATCACCACAACCTAGAAAATTATTTTCTAAAAGTTTTTACAATTTACAATAGTCTAAACTTACATGGATATCAAATCAAAAGGGCTTACTAAGTATACAAAAAGCTAGGTAAAGGAACTCTGAGACTTGGAACCAAAATAGTGAACATTTTTTATGATTTTTCACATTATTTAATTGAGGAGTGCGTAGACATTCCATAAATTTATAGTGTTTTAATTGAAATTGCATTCAGCAAAATTTAATCTTACATTTAATCAAGGACCATGCTCACTAAAACATATCTTTAAACACATAATTGTATACTTTGACGCATTAAGTGCTTTTGAAAATAATGAACTAGATGATATGTAACATTTCAGCTTAAACAAAAAATTTACACATCAAAATATAGATAATATTTTTCTTGAGATATAAACTCTAGACAAAATAATAGTCAAAACACAAAAAGACCAAATTCTGAGTTATATTTTCTGTTTGAACAGATGATTAAGTTTTCTGGGTATATTTTGGTTTTTTTTTTGCTAAGTTCATAAGGTTAGCTTACATATAATCTGTTTATTCATTCATACTTCGATGTAATCTTTGAGCTTGCATTAACATGCATCCCTTCTCATCCCTTCATATGTCTTGACATCCCCTAAAGATGTCCTTGGCATTTCCAATGTTCCAGAAACTCTAAAGAACTAGATATTCCAAAGTCCAAACCACATGTCAAGAACATGCTTCCTCAAGTGCAAGCGGTGAGGGAAAAGAAAAGGAAAAAAAATCTGTTCATTCTCAAATGAAATTCCAAAGAAATTCTGAAATGAAACTTCAATACATTTTGATTCAACAACAAAATCGCAGAAAATACATTGCAGTGTTTATCTCCTAACCTTGTGACCGAGTTTCAACAGACATTGTGAGAGATAATAAATGTGACTTTCCACACCGCCAAAGTTGGGATAAAAAAAATCAGAGACCATCAGAATTCTGTGACTTCTTTGATCCCCCATCATAAAATTCCTTCAAACACCTGCCAATCAACAACACAATGTGATCCAAACCCAACAAGAAACGCAATTAACAACATAGCTGTACAAGTAATTCAGATAGAAAATATGCTTCATTTACTAAAATCGAGACGCCTACTTGTGAGCTAACAATCGAGAGCGCGTGATATTGAATACAAGTAAACCCGCGATGAATTGAACAAAAACGAACTAAATCAAACGCTCCATCGCTAAGCATCAATAAGAGATTTGCAGAAGGAATAGGCGAGTGTGTGAAATGAACAAATAAAGAATTACCTCTCGGGGATGGAGATACCTAGAAACGGATTTACATAGGAATGAATGAATAACTGTGCCTAGAATGTTTTTGAGCAAGAATGATGGGAATCCATGGAAGGAGCTTCAGATGAATACTTGGATCTGTCCCTGTAAATTGAAGAGAAAGGCGAAATACTGAATCAATGCAAATGATTTTTACATTGAATAAAATATATTTATTATTATTGCCTCCTATATTGTCGAATATTTGGTACGATTGTTTACCAAATTCATGTCTACGCACTCCAAACTAGAAGCATAAAAGACTCATTTGATGGATTGTCAAGCTAAAAATTCCACGACACACCAGCGGGATTCTCTAAAAAGTTAAGGTCGCGAGTGTCCAAGAGGGCTCACTTGGAGACTTGGGATCTCAGTATAAAATGCGAAGGTTGCAACAATGAAAGTCGGACTGTGGCTATACTGAGCTCCATCTTTTTTGATTGGGCTCGACAAGTTGTATCGAACGACATCAACAAAATTCTTAACGAACTAGTTATTATGTCTTCAAGGGCTTGGTTCTAAAAAAGTACTAGGGTTAATAAAATGCCCCTAAATGTACTATAAATGATGTGACCAATCGTCAATTCTTCAAACCCGATTTATATGCTATCAAAATTATGGTCGTTGATTATTCATTTTCAGCTGATAACATTACTTTCTTTCCAACTATTTCCAATGCATCTCATCACCACGTCTTATAAAATACTTTATGTCAAACATGAATTACGTATTGATCATACGTTCGAACTATCTGCAAATTTGTTCGCCATGTTAGAACAAATGTCACACGATCGATGTACCAATGTCGTAGAGTGCGATTGTCAGTTCTATATAGTTAAAATGTATTTTTATTAATGTTAAATTAATAAAAATATATATACTATTAAACTATATATATATTTTCGTCTAACAAATATTCTTAAAATTTTTAAATTATTCTAAAAAAAACTTGCTATTAATTTTTTATGAAAATTATTAAAATTTTGACCTTTTCACTTTAAATATCTTAAAAATTTTTTAAAAAATTATTATTGAGGAGTATTTTTTAAACAGGGAAAATGAAAACTAAATAAAATAAATAAAATAATTTTTTTTTTGTAAAAAAATTTAAAATATTATTAATAATTTTTTAAAAATAAATAAGATGAGTATTTATTAATTTAATATTTAATTAATTAAGATTAACAAAATGTGGTTGCTTAAATTAAAGAACGGTAAATTGTGAAGAAGGGAGCGGGAAGGGGAAAGATGCATCCTTTCCTCTTCTTTGTTATCGCTCCAAATTCAAAAACACAATTCTCGGCTCTCCCAAGTCCTCTACAAGTCTCTGACTACTCGATTCTTCGCCCTGCGTTCAAACCCTAATTTTGGATTAGGGTTTCCATTGCACAGTCGTGATTATGAGGCCTGTCAAACGCGAACCCGCCGCTAGCAGCCGCAGTAATCAGAGTAAAGGCGGCGACGCCGTCGATGCTGCGAATTTAAGAGATGTTAAGCGGGCGAGGGTTGCTCGGGAGAAAGAGAACATCGGTGATGGCAACATGGCTGAAGCAGAAGAGGGTCAACAAGGCTTGACGAAGCGGCGGGTTCTCCGGTCTCGGTATCTTGCGGTCATTCACGAGATTAGTGGTATGGTGGATCTCTGCATTTTTCTTTTTTTAAATTCCTACTGGATCTCTGCATTAGTGTTTGTAGGTAATCGGGTTTTTTTTTTTTTTTTTTTTTTTTTTTTTGGTTTCTTGTTTTTTAAGAAAGGAGAGAGGATTTGACGAAGGATTCGGACAAGTTCAATGTTATCATCAATGAAGTGGAAAAGTTGCACGAGCAAGGTATTTCTATAGTTTATTTTCAATTTGTTTACGTTGAAGAACTGTTATCTCTTTGATTTAAAATTTTCATCAAAAGAAAACAATCAAGCATTGCCACTTTCCGCTGTTGCATTTTCCCCTTGCATTCTTATAGTCATATAAGTTTGAATGTGACTTGAACTTCGAGTTTTGATATTGTTATTCATGTGATATGGTTGTGTTTCCATCTGGGTTTCAGTTCAGAAGCCAAGGGAACAAGTTGCAGATGCAGAAGCCTTGCAAGATATTGCAAACTCCTTGGTGACCTCTATTAAGTCGCAGTCAAATGAAGGTGTTACTCCATCAGATTTTGTGAGCTGTCTGCTCAAAGAATTTGCTGACATTGAAGGCGGTATAACATCCGAAGAAAACGATCCGATTTCTATCAGTTGGAAAGATATCGGATTAAGCGTTTCGTCTATTTTCATGAATGGCCATGGATGCCGCACCATGTGAGACTCTTAGATTCCTTTTTTCTCTCAAACTTAATGCTAAAGTGGCTTCTATGGATGTTTTTACCGAGTATATAACTTCTTTCTCGTGTGTTTTTCAAGGCTTGGACCTATGAGCACTCAGTTGAAGCAGCGAAAGACTAATATTGCCCGGAAACGTTCAAGGCCTACTGAAAGTTCGAGACCTGCAGAGGTTAGACTTTAGCTTTAATACTACAGTCAAATTTTTAAGCACCTTGTAGATTAGTGTAAACAGGTTTTAGATGATGGTCGAGTGTCCAATTTTACTGAAAGTACAGATATTTCTTTTCTGGTAGGACATATATAATTGAACTCGTTAATGTTTTAGCTGAACCTTACGAAGCTTGTTTATAGTCACTCTAGCTTTCCTGCTTGATGTTCTTTGCACATACTTATTAACTTTTTTCTGTTTGGTCAAATGGTTTGTAAAATAGGTTGCATTTATGTTTGTTTTTCATGCATTTGATATTCTTTTGTCCCGTTGATGTTTATCTCAATTCATACGTGCAGGTTGATGAAGATGGATCTGAAGAAAAAACGGATACAGATAAGAACATGAGCATCATGTTTGGAATTTTGAGGAGGAATAAAACCGTTAGACTTGAACATTTGATATTGAATAGAAACTCTTTTGCACAGACAGTAGAGAACTTATTTGCTCTCTCCTTTCTGGTCAAGGATGGTCGGGCCGAGATAACTATTGATAAAAATGGTTCTCATTTTGTATGTGAGTAACCATCTACAGACTTAACTTTTTGCACTTTTCTTTTAAAACATTGTGTTCTTTGCATTATACTTACATTTTCTGTCAATATTTTCAGCTCCGAAGAATGCCCCGGCCCATAGTGCCATTATGTCACACGAAGTTAATTATAGTCACTTTGTATTCAGATTCGATTTTAAGGATTGGAAGGTACAGAGAAGCATTCATTGCTATGATACTAACTTTACATTTCCCAGTGTCATGTAACAGAGTTCAAATATTAAGAAAAGTATTTTGCAGCTGTGTACTATGATTAGACTTGTATATAATGTTGGATAGAGGCTCATAATATATATCAAATGCTGTTTATTATTTAGATCCTTGGCTTCAATTGAGGAACACATGTGAAATGTAATTGCAGTTGATGATGGATATAGTTCCAGTTGGAGAGGAGTTGATGCCCCACAGGAACTTTCTAAATACAGCACCAATGCCCCAAGCAGAAGCAGCCACGGACGATTCTGAATCAGCGGCATTGCCTACCACGCCAATTCGAAAGCTGTCAAGAAATCGAGGTTTAGTTATGCAATCTGTTGTTGAGGATTCCCCTGATAATGATGGCGCTCATTCAGGACCAACTGCAATGTTGAGGTGCAAGAAAAAGCTTAGTCAAGGTTAGGAAAATTAAAACTCTGATAACTGCCGGATGTGAGTTCTTCTTTCCGGTTTTTGTTCTGTTGGTTGTATATTTAACGGCTGCCCTGTGAATATGTCATTAGGTTCTAGGAGAAAATGATTGGCAAATATAAGTTCTCTAACAGAAGTTATGATGTTTGTGGGTAGCTTAGATCAAGCTCCAAGTATTCTGTAAAGGTAGAGTTCCTAATTACGTTAATTCAATGAATGGTAGCCCAAAGTAGGGTCTGGGTCATTTTGTTTGTAGTTCTGCAAGATTCAAAATATATTGACTTCTAATTATAAGCATGTTTGCCCCATTTATTATCAGTTTGAAGTTTGAACCAAATCCTCAAAATAGAAAAGAAATGAAATGAAGTTCTTGGAAATTATGGAGAAAAAACAGGAAGAAATGAGTAAAGATTTTGTAGAAGACTTAACTTAGCTATGTCAATAAAATTCTCAAATGTAAAACAAAAAAGTTGTGAGCTTCGAAAGTGTAGTCAAAAGTGACTCAAGTGTCGAACAAAGGTGTGCTTTGTTCGAAGTCTTTAGAGGAGTTGAATCTCGATTAAGGGGAGCTTGTTTGAGAGCTCCATTAGGTCTCAGGGGAGGCTTTATGGTGTACTTTGTTCGAGAGGAGGATTGTTGGGAGAGGAGTCTCACATCGGCTAATTAAGAAGTTGATCATGAGTTTATAAGTAAGGAAATAATCTCCATTGATACGAGGCCTTTTGGAAAAACCAAAAGTAAAGTCATCAGAGCTTATGCTCAAAGTGGACAGTATTATAACCATGGTGGAGGTTCGACTTACATTTTTAGGAACATCCTAAGGATTGTCAAAATCTGCATCCAAGGGATATATTTTTGCGATCTCCAATAACGAATCCATCTTGCAATCTGAAACATCAAATTTTCAGTGGCAGAAACTACTATCCCAGGTAAAATGAGTTTCATATGGTTAGATAGGCTTACGATCGAGATTTATCGATTCCCACGTTGCAAGTTGGTTTCAAAGATGTTTAAAGCCTAGTAAAGATGACTCTAAGCTCTTAGTGACCAAATTTTATAGGGTTCAATAAAATAATTCAAACATAAAGATGAAATTTCTATGGGATTATACTTACACGCACCCACGTACCAACAATAATTTCAGCTCCGGCAGCAGCAAGAGATTTTGCTATTGCCCAACCATAACCATTGTCATCAGCGCTACACCAGCAATGAATGCCCGCTTACCTGAACAGAAAACCCAAAAATTTGCTGAACTGATTTTGAGAATTATACAACTAGAAAACAGAGGGGGCAACCTCTTAAATCAATATGTTTATATCCAGACACAGTGTTGTAAGTTGTCATGAAAAGTTGTCATGAAAAATAAGTATAAGAGATGTTGTCATGAAAAATAAGTTTAAGTATCTCTTATGCATGTATTGACATTTATTCAATTCATAACTCTCATTTATTTGGTTTATCTTCCATATTGATACATGAATTATCTTGCTTCATGTATGACATTAATGCCATAAGGGAATTTTTTTTTTTTAACTACGTAAATCTTTGTGTCTCTTTCATTTCTATTTGTGGGTGTGTGAGTACGATCGGCTAAGAAACAAATGCGTATTGATAGAATAAAATTTAGAAAACTGAGGGGACAACCTTTTAAATCAATCGGCAACCCAGAGACTGGTTGGTGTTCATTAGATCCAGACATAGCACTAGTTGCAATCTTCCCAGTTCTTGTAGAAGATAAAGTGGTGGAATTCAGCTGAAAGTGTTTCAAAGCGGAGACATTGTAGACATTTTTAAGTTTAGCAGAAGAGAGCTTGCTGTTTCTCAGTGTGCACATCGGAATATTATAGGCTCCGGTTGTCGACATCTTATACAAGATGGCTATCTATACAATTAAAAATTTCAAACAAAATCCATAACTCTGTAGATGATCAAACAAAGAATTGAATCTCTTGGAAACTCAGAGAAGAGTACACAGAACAAAGCGTAAGAAACACACAGTTTCACCACACAGACATTTTCACAAACACTTAGAGGGCAAGAAATTCACCAGGACAAAAGATTGCAGACTCCGAAAACATTGAAGGGGATTCATGATTCAATTAGATTAAGACATTCAGAAATTTGCAGAAACATCTCAAATCCAAGTCAGAAGAGATAGAGAGAAGCAGCAAAACGTTAATTTCTTACATATCTTGGCGACGGATAGAGCGCGGCAATGGATACTGCAACAAGATCAAGCGGGCCTTGAATGAAACGCGAAGAGGAGGAGAAGAAATTGATTGGGTTTTGAAGAGTGGTGAAGAAGTGTCCATGAAAAAGATGAAGAAAAAGGTTGGAGAACGCCGATAAGGGTTGTTAAAGAAGACGGCGGATAATGAATTTGTGAATTCATGAATGAGAGAGAGAGAATTAATTGAACAGTTGGGAAGCCATTGTTGGTAAGTCGGCTGTTTTTGAATAGGATGTTATTCCAATATTGTGGGAATCTTCCAAACATTTTGGAATCTTAAATGAATTTTGTTTTTCTTTTTATCCTATTTATTTCGCTCGATTCAAAATGATGAAGATGTTGTCGGAGAAATTTTGATATGAGACTTTGTTTAAATTTCTAACAATTATGTTCTTAACCAAAGGATTCTCGAGACTTTCATCCAAGTCAACTTCTTCCTCCCGAGCACATTATTTGTCTCAATAAAAACTCAACCATAGATCACATCGTGGAATAACCAGGATCGATCACGCTTGTTTGACCGAACAACATCTCTCTCGAGCACACCAATCCATTTCGTGTAAGACTTAAATCAGTATCGAGTTAACAAAATTTAGGACATATCATAGACAACAGTGGTTAAGAAAATATATATACTTTTATGAATCTCATCCACAAACACATCCTCCGATTCCCTTCTCGACCCTTTTGAAATTAGATACCCAAAAAGAAAATTGAACCGAGATTGATTCAAATCTTTAAAACCCTAATTTGAACCCTAATTCCATTTAATCAATATGCACTCCAAATAACCTAATTCGCTTTTGCCCAACATTTTGGCTACTAGGGTTTAATTTTTCACGCTTTAAAATCTCCTCCTCTTCCTCCTTCTTCTTCTTCTTCCCCTCACAGTCCTCCCGATCAAGCCCTAATTCTCTCTGCAATTGTTCGTGCTTAATACTCTCTCTCTCCGCCGCTAAGCAACTACTCTCGCTCTGGTCATCTTCCGGTTTCTTGTAGATTACGTCAATGAAAATCAATGTTCCGCCATTTTTGTCTCTTTCGCAGCTTTCGTATGTGTAAAACGTGATGATGTCATTCGCCTTCAGCTTTTTCTCTTTCACGAATCGATTCCAGCCTCTGGTGAAGACGAAGCTTTGGCTGCTCCTCCAGTAACAGTATCGGAACTTCCATGTCTTCATTGATGTATCGTAGAAGACGATTTCGATATCGTCGCTATTCTCCTCTGCGCTCTCGCTAATGTACGGAAAATGTTTCACTGCGTATTTTTTCGGGATTACGAGTCGATTGAGCTTTCCGACGTCGCTCGGTGTTAATTCCTTCTGGAATAGATGGCTGCAAGAGAAATGGCCATCGCGGTCGCCATTTTCACTAGTTTGGAGGTTCTGTATATTCGAGTCGCAAATTTGAGACTTCGTTCGTAAGTAGGCGGAAAATTTCGAGGAATACGATCCGTCTTTGATCATGCTGAGAACGGCGTCAATGGAGAATTTGCTTTGAAATTTCGGCTCCTCGATTGATAGGCGAGTCCATGGGAAATTCCGGTGAGAGTCTCTGGTGCGAAGCTTGATAGCGGCACTATCATAAGCCATGGCAGCGTCTTTCTCCGATTTGAAGGTACCGAGCCAGATCCTCTGGTGGTTCGCATAGATCTGCGCTCCCCAACGGCCATTCTGTTGCGGCACGACGCCTTTAAATTTCTCGACGGTGGCTACATCATTAAGATCATGGTCTAATCTCATCCGCTTGGCATCAGGTATGGCATAATCTGAGAAATTAGAATCTGAAACTTCATCTATGAGGAGAGGGGACTTAGTGAAGGAAATGAAGGTGGAGGATGCTTCGTCTTCCATGGTGGATGAGATTGGGAAATGGTGGGGAGGTAAAGTGGGATTAAAGAAGAGGAAGAAGAAGCCATGGTTGAAGTTAAGTTACAGTTGCAGGGGAGAGGTAAAACAAGTTGTCAATGGTGCTATAATTTTTTTGTTCTTTGTTTCAGTTGAAAAAAGGTTCAAATTGATGGGTGTTTTGGGATTTTGGAAGGTGGAAAGTTTTCAGAAACTAAACAAGATTTGGTTACTTTTGAAACAAATTAAACTACATTTGAAACAACACTAGCAAATGGAGTTGAGATTAATAACACTTTTCTTTTTTCATCTCAGGTTTCTTCTCAAAATTTCTCTTTATTTAGCATGTAAATGTGTTAGTTGCTGTTCATCTGCCTATAACTATAAGAAATTATCCAATCATATATATATTTCTTGTTTGCAAACTCTCTATGTTTTTTTTGGTTAAATCATAATTTTGGGGTAGTTATAAGGGATTCGTGTTCAATTTTATAAAAGATGATTATATTTGACTTTCTCGCTCGATTAGGGCTCGATTAGGTGGGCGGGCGATCATTGAATTATTACAAGTATTATGGGATTAGAGATTTTTGTTCAATTTTAGAGGATAAATTATATTTGTCTTTCTCCGAAGATTATTATTCTAACATGTTATTAGAGTTATGCCCTAAATTTAGTAATATCAATAGAATCCTCAAATACCAAACAAAAGTATTGACTAAAATATTGAACATAGGGTGTACTAGTGTGCTTTGTTCGAAGACTCCAAAAGAAAAGGAGTTGAGCCTCGATTAAGAGGAGACGTAGTTTGTTCGAGAGGTGTTTGAGAAAAGGAGTTGAGCCTCGATTAAGGGAGACGTAGTTTGTTCGAGAGGAGAGGTGTTGGAGAAAAGGAGTTGAGCCTCGATTAAGGGAGACGTAGTTTGTTCGAGAGGAGAGGTGTTGGAGAAAAGGAGTTGAGCCTCGATTAAGGGAGACGTAGTTTGTTCGAGAGGAAAAGTGTTGGAAAAAAGGAGTTGAGCCTCGATTAAGGGAGACGTAGTTTGTTCGAGAGGAGAGGTGTTGGAGAAAAGGAGTTGAGTCTCGATTAAGGGAGACGTAGTTTGTTTGAGAGGAGAGGTGTTGGAGAAAAGGAGTTGAGTCTAGATTAAGGGAGACGTAGTTTGTTCGAGAGTAGGTGTTGGATGAAAATCCTGGCAAATTTAGGAAATGATTATGGGTTTATAATTAAGTTATACTATCTTCATTATTGAAATGAGTTCTTTTGGAGAAGACCAAAACAAAGTCATGAGAGCTTATGCTCAAAGTGGACTATCATATCATTGAGAAAAGTTGTGTTCATCTAATATAGTTATGTTGAAACTTTTGAAAGCAGAAAAAAAAATAATAGATTTTACAATCAATGTTTAAACTTATTTAAAAAAAAAAATAGTAATAGTTTATTGCATATTATGAAGACAAAGTAAAAGCAAAACTTTAAAATATATATTTATAAATTATTACTATTGTTATTACCACGTAAAATTTATGGTCTATTTTTTTGCTGTAATTAAAAAAAAAAAAAACCAAGTCGAATGAATGTGCAGAAAACGAGGAAATTTGTAAGCAATGAATTTCCTATTAATTTGGATCTCATCAACGGCCATATTTCAACCTATAAATATGTCTAATTCACTCCCTTTCTCTCTCAACACAATCTCTCTTTCTCTCTCCAGTTTTTTTTTTAAAAAAAAGAAAATCAGCCATTAGAGCTCAAATCCATTGGAGACCTAAGCTTCCATTATTGATCAGTTTGATTCAACACAATCATATTCCTTTACCATAAATGACAAAAGGTTTTAGTTTTGGGGCCGACTTCGATCATCCACGCCTGATTTCTCAATCTCGGTCACCTCTTTTTCGTGTCCGATCATCTTCCCCATCCCCTGAGTCGTTGTCGTCTCTCATTACCATTCCCGAACAAGTCACTCTTGCCCTTATCAAGTTTCGCAAAAAGGTCTACGCCTTTTATTTTGTTTTGCAGAGTTTAAAATGGATTCTCAGGAGGAAATTACCGTGAAGGTTAGAATTTTAAAAAATAATTACTAGACGTATTATAATTTGTTATTATTATTATTATTATTATTTTGAATAATTTGACTTATTAATGGAATTTGTAGATTGCTGAAGAAGCAGCAGAAGGTGCCAATGAAAACAGTCACCAAAATGACCAAAATGACCCAAATGAAGCAGAAGGTGTCAATGAAAACAGGGACCAAAATGACCCAAATGAAGAGCCAATAGCTGTTTCTGTGTATGGGGAGAGACCCACTGTTTCAAAGAACATTGGAGGATGGAAACTTGCAACTCTATTATTAGGTCATCTTTTTTAATTTTCTGTTTTCTATAAATTTAATTATTTATTCCAACCCCGGTTTAATATGGATTAAAAAGATGTCTATTTTGTAAGATCGTTGAAAACCTGAGTTGAGAGTTGAAAACCCGAGTTGAGATCTTACTGTTTCGTAAGATCGTTGAAAAACTCGAGTTGAGATCTTACTGTTTCGTAAGATCGTTGAAAAACCCGAGTTGAGATCTTACTGTTTCGTAAGATCGTTGAAAACCCGGGTTGAGATCTTACTGTTTCGTAAGATCGTTGAAAACCCACCAAATAACTTATTTGGCACTGTACGAAGGATTTGAAATACGGGAAAGAAATACCATTCCGGCAATATTTCCAAAGGAGTTGCAAATGGATTTGCGGGTTCACCAATCATTGATGGTCCTAGAACCGCTAAACCCACGTTACATGCAATAGTACCTAGAATTACTACTGGAAATATATAAAAGATCATTGGGCCATGCGGGTTCTCCGTAATAATTATGACCCGTACCCTTAGCCAATTTAGAGTTGTATTTATAGTCCACGAGAGTTGTATTTATAGTCTACAAGAGTTGTATTCTTAGGTTTAATTATTATCAAACCAGATCTTAGCTCATATGGTACTAATATAAATAAATGCATTGAAGATTCATTTGGTATATATATTGAAATTTTAGCTCATATGGTACGAATATAAATAGATGCATTCAAGATTCATTTGGTATATATATTGAAACAGTTAACCAAGCACTCGCAACCCTAGCTTTCTTCGGCGTTTCAGTGAACTTGGTGTTGTTCTTAACAAGAGTTCTTAACCAAGAGAGTGCCACTGCAGCTAACGGCGTTAGCAAATGGACTGGCACTGTCTACCTTTGCTCCCTCATTGGGGCATTTCTTAGCGACTCCTATTGGGGCCGATATGTCACTTGTGCCATCTTTCAACTCATTTTCGTAATGGTAAGTTAATTTCGTTGTTATTTTCATTTAGTATCGAAGCGTTCATTTAGTATCAAAGCGTTGTGAAAATCGTGAAAGTGACGATTTAGTTACGTGCCCAAAATATAGGGTTTGGGGCTACTATCCCTAACCACGAACCTATTCCTCCTAAACCCGACCGGGTGTGGCAACGAGGTACTAGACTGTGTGCCATCATCCATCAAAGGTGTGACAATCTTCTACCTCTCCATCTACCTCATTGCCTTGGGCTATGGCGGCCACCAGCCGACGCTCGCCACCTTCGGCGCCGACCAGTTCGACGAATCCAACAAGAAAGAGGCCAACGCGAAGCCGACCTTCTTCTCCTATTTCTACTTCGCTCTCAATTTCGGCTCCCTGTTCTCCAATACCATTCTCGTTTACTTTGAGGACTCCGGCCACTGGACGCTAGGGTTTTTGGTGTCCCTTGGCTCGGCGGTGCTGGCGCTGGTTTTGTACTTGCTTGGGACCAAACGGTATCGGTATGTGAAGGCGTGTGGGAACCCTCTGTCCCGGGTCGCGCAGGTGTTTATGGCGGCGGCTAAGAAGTGGAAAGTGCCGCCGGCGAGTGGAGATGGGCTGTTTGAGGTCGATGGCCCTGTTTCTGCCATTAAAGGCAGCCGGAAGATTCTTCATAGCAATGGCTGCAGGTACGATTTCCAAATCCTCAATTTGTGCCTGGATCTTGCTGAAAAATGGATTTCATGTAACCTAAATCCTCTATTTGTGTCTTGATCTTGCTGAAAATGGATTTCATGTAACCTAAATCACCTACAGGTTTTTGGACAAGGCGGCGACGGTTACAGAGGACGACACAANGGAATTGAAGAATCCATGGAGTTTATGCACAGTAACGCAGGTCGAAGAAGCCAAATGCCTAATCAGAATGCTCCCGATTTGGTTCTGCACCATCATGTACTCCGTCGTCTTCGCTCAAATGGCCTCTCTGTTTGTCGAACAGGGCGACGTAATGAACTCCACCGTCGCCAACGGATTCCGCATTCCGGCCGCAAGCATGTCCGCCTTCGACATCTGCAGCGTCCTCATCAGCACCGGCCTATACCGCCATGTCCTCATTCCTCTCGCCGGCCGTTTCACCGGAAAACCTAAGGGACTGACAGAGCTTCAAAGGATGGGGATCGGCCTCGTAATCGCAATGCTCGCGATGATCGCCGCCGCCGTAACCGAGACCAAGAGGCTGAAGTACGTAATTCCAGGAGAGAAACAGAGTTCTCTGAGTATCTTCTGGCAGGTTCCTCAGTACGTTCTTGTAGGTTGCTCTGAGGTTTTCATGTATGTCGGCCAATTGGAGTTCTTCAACGCGCAATCGCCTGATGGAATCAAGAGTTTAGCGAGTTCATTGTGTATGGCGTCGATTTCGCTCGGAAATTATGGTAGTATCTTGCTGGTGAACGCGGTGATGGCGATTACGACGAAAGAGGAAAACCCTGGGTGGATTCCCGATGACTTAAATTCCGGCCATTTGGACAGATTTTACTTCCTAATCGCGGCTTTAACGGCGATTGATCTTCTGATGTATGTGTATAAGGCGAATTCGTACAAAGCTATTCAGATCGACAGCGCTCCGGCAAAGGAGCCGGCGAACCTGGTGCGCGGCGGAGGGAAGGAGCCGGAGGAAGAAGATGAGATTGTTGGTAGAGTATAATTAGTTAGTGGAAGAAGTAATTTGATTAATTAATTGTTTTAATTACTGTGATGATTTGTCGATTTAATATTCCAGGTTAAATAAAAATACTGTAAGTAAAGCAGCTGTAGTAGACTATTTATGTTGAATATTATTTTAAATTTTTGTAATTTATTAAAAAAATTTATTTTTATGAAATATTATACAATTTATTAGATCTTATTTTTGTTTAACAAATAGAAATAGAAATATCAACTTTTTTAAAAAAAAATTTATACAGTTTTAATATTTTTACCATTTAAAAATTTTCACAAAAAAAAAAAAAAAAAAAAAAAATTATCGTGGAGGTTACCTGAGAGAAAGATAGTGGTCGGAAGTAGGTCAATTGTTGAGTCTTGCATTAATGATAGAATTAGATTGAATATCCATTCTTAATTATTTTTACAGTGATTATATGCTATGAAAGTTGTGGTAGTTGCTTACGCTTTTTTTAAGTGTTTTTAAAAAAATTGGAATGAACGCACTTTTCGCAATCGCACTTTGATGGTAGCGGACTTGCGAGTGTGCGATACTCACTTCTCAGCAATGAGTGAGTTAAGTCTATTCGTTCTTGCGTCACCTACAGTAAGGTAATGTATGCTCCTCTGGCCTTGGTTCAAGAAGAAAGTTTTAGAAAACGGAGGCAAGGATATTTCGAAAGAAGCCAGATTTGAAAAATTGAAATTGGTATTATATGAGAAAGTAAGCATAAGGCAACAACAACTGCTTACTGCACATAACTGTCGGGTATGAAGAAGTTAGCCATATTTGAAAATTTGAAATTATATGGGAAAGTAAGCAAAAGGCAACAACAACTACATAACTGTCGTGTATGAAGAAGTTGACAACTAGTCGTATCTCACTAGTATATTTTGGGGCATTTTAGCCCTTATAGGGATAGATATGATGAAAATGCATTGTCTATGTTCAACGACGGCTTAAATTCTAGTTAGGTGACTTACTCGAGAGCCTGAGTAAATATTGCGCAATTGCGTTGTGAATCCTAACATAACAGGATCGTTATCGAGCGTTATAGTTGCTCGATTCCGATTCGGAGCATGAACACAAACATCAAGACTCTCAATCACTTGAACTTGACTCACATCCATACATTTTTTTTTTAGCAATCTTATCAAACCCTATTTTGACCTACTTTTCAAATCCGCCCCTCTTTCGCTTCATTCCATATCTGCTCAGGCTCCTGCTTCTCCTCCACATCCTCCTCCTCCTCCTCTCGTCTTGATTAGGTTCCCACATTCATTTCTCCGGCTGCTTCATTCCCTGTTTTCCCTTCTTTCTCTGAGATTTCCCCTTCTTCCTTTCGAGTATTGTGTCCTGCTTGCTTTTATCTTCTATGGACCCTGACGGTGTTCACAAGAGGGAGAGAGCTGAAACCGCCTTGAATGGCAATGGGGCCTTTAAGAAGTCCAAACCAGGTTCGTTTTACTTCATAAATGCTCCTCTTGGGCTTTTTTGGGCATTCTCAACGGTTTTGGTATTTTCTCGTTCAGCTGGTTCATGGCTTTGTTGGTGGCTTTTGTTTCCTTTGCTTGTAGTTGTAGTATGTGCATACTGAAGTCCGTTTTGTTTGATTTCTGTTCGTTTTGACTACTATTGATAGTTATAATGGACTTGATATTTACTCTCGGGTATTGCTGTTCTTTTGTATACGCTCTTGCTAGAAGAAACGTGGAAGCTACTAGAACAAATCTGAATAAATGAACACAAATTGTTGGCTTTTGCTTCCCTTGCTTGTAGTTCTTCGTTTGAATATATAGATGTAGGTATATAGTGTTTTGGAATTTACTTAAGGTATTTGGTTAATGATTCCAATATCATGTCCTAAGTTCTGGTTAAAGTTTTTGATGTGATATTTAGTGTTTGAAACTACTGTTACGGCTTCAACTGATGTCGATTTCACATCCTTTGCTTGGATGTTAGAACATATGTTAGAACATAAAAAGTACATCACTCCCTTTTTGTCTTTGTTTTTGTTGATAGTTTTTTAAAATGGAGTGTGGGTGTCTTTTTATTCCTCCTGCTGGCCGTTTTCACCGCATTAACTAATAGTGTGTTGTGTCTTAGCCAGAAAAGATGTTAGAACAATTTGAGATATTTTAAGCTGGGAGATCAATAATTGGGTGAAATTGAACTAAGGAAAGTTAATTAATGTTGTGCGACAGAAATGGACTCCTTATCTACTGGTTTAGGAAGCAAATCGAGGCCTTGCACAAAGTTTTTCAGGTTCTAATCTTAACTTATCTAAAATGAATTAATATAATGCCACTCAATATATTGCAAACATTCTTTAATTTCCAGAAAGATTTACTTAATTTTCTCAAGCAAAATTGTTGTTCTTTGGACTAATGAATTGGTTACTTAAAGTTGTTTCAGGTTATGCAATGATGTAATCATAACAACAATCACTGAACTGAAATAGTTGATTCACAAGAGTTCAGTGGGAATGTCTAAATTGAAAGCACTTTTATATATTGGATGCAAACTTGTTCTCTCTTAAGTGGATAATTAGTTCTTACTTGGATATTTTCAAGTAAGCAGTTTGATGCAGAATTGAATTGGCATTTAGGTTTTGATCAAAGAATAAAAAGTTATGGTAAATCATGTTCTATTTGTTCCTAAGCTATCACATGAGCCACATTTCCATTTTTTTTATTTTAATTATGTATGTATATATGAAAGTCTGTAAATGTTATGCTAATTTTCCGTCTAGTTCATATGAATTATTTTGTTGAACGATGGCAGTTCAGCTTGTTTCTGTTGCTAAATTGAAGAGTTGTCTTGAAACTTGAATGTCAGATATCTTTGTTTGGGTTGGAGTAGAGTTATTGAAAAATCATTCGTTTAGACTTATTGTGGACTCTTGGAAAACGTTGTTTCTGCTCGTTTCTGCTCGTTTCTACTCCTGATCTATACTTTGGTTGTTTATGCTCAAGAATCTTCATTGGTTTTGTTAAATTTTGTACGAGTTTCGACTAGTATTCTGGATCGTGTTGCTACCGTGAAGTTTACTCCTCTTTTTAAATGAAAAATGCAGCACTTCTGGTTGCCCTTTTGGTGAGGGGTGTCATTTTGCACATTATGTTCCTGGCGGATTCAAAGCAATTTCTCAGATGAACAGTCCTGCTATTCTCACTGGCATTAGAAATCCTGTCGGCCCCCCACCGTTTCCAGATGGTGTTTCTCCTCCGGCTGTCAAGACACGTTTGTGCAACAAATTCAACTCAGCCGAAGGCTGCAGATTCGGTGACAAATGCCATTTTGCTCATGGCGAGTGGGACCTTGGAAGGCCAAATCCTCCACCAGAACACGGTGGAATGGGAGGACCACTAGCACAACAACCCAGAATGGGTGGTGGCTGGAATGTGCCTCCGCCACAACCCAACCATGGACCTGCTGCTAGCTTCGGTGCATCTGCAACAGCAAAGATTAGCGTCGATGCATCGCTTGCAGGTCCCATAATTGGGAAGAATGGGGTCAACTCGAAGAATATCTGTCGTATGACAGGAGCAAGACTTTCTATAAAAGATCACGAATCAGACTCTAGCTTGAAGAACATTGAGCTCGAGGGTACGTTTGATCAGATCAATCTTGCTAGTTCAATGGTGCGCGAGTTGATTGCAAACATGGGCACAGCCTCTGCCAATGATGCCATGAGGCAGCAACAGCATTCTCAGCACCATTCGGGCTCGGCAAACAACTTCAAGACCAAGCTTTGTGCTAATTTTGCAAAGGGTACCTGTACGTTTAGAGAAAGATGCCATTTTGCACATGGCGAAAGTGAATTGCGGAAACCAGGTATGTGAACGCCCACCACTTTCAGCGGCCTTGTAGCAGTGTGAGTGCCTCTTCTTTAACACAATGTTGTTTTGTTTTGCTTTTCTTTGTTAGTTTTGGTAAAACGATGTCCGATCACTTGTAAGATGAGCAATTTTCATCTACATAGATATTCAGGACGAGATTTAAGTAAAGTTTCAATTAATTTGATCGATCGATATTAAATGTTCTGTCTACATTACGAATTTAAACATAATTTAACAGGTTCACGGGTTAAGACGCACAATTGTGTTTGATTTATTTCCTAAACTAAATTAGTATCAGGTAAACTAAGCCAGTCAACCCAAAAAATAGTGAAATTCAAAGGAGATTTTAAATGATTTTTATGCAACATATGCCATCAAAAGGACTCTCATAGAGAAAACAAACAGAATTTCAAAATTTTCTTCACTACTAAATAATGATAATAATGGTACATTCAGAATGTCAAGAAGAATGTAATCTAACACGCGCACCTCTACAAGAGCTCATGATCTATTGCGAAAATTCGTTCATTTTGCCTTGCCATTCTTTGAAGATCCCTTCTTCAATGGCTTCTTCTGTAGTTTCTTATTTGGTTTCAACTTGTTGCTTGACATTGATGAAGACTTCCCTCGTTGGTTTCTTTGTTTCTTTTCTTTTTTCACATTGTACATGTTGACAGCCTGAAAATCAAGATGAGGAATCCAAAATAGGCTTAGAATTTAATGTGATTACAAAATCAATTTGTTTCTCAGAAGTAATGAGCTTCACTTCATGATAAATCATATACACGAATATCCATCATGTCGTAATCTATTTACATCACAAGGTCCATTAGAAATTATGTTGAATCATATAATATACAAGGCAATCAATACGAGTATAACTCACTCAACAAGCTAAAACATTATGTCCCAGCCAAAAGTTAAAAGGTTTGAATTCTCTTTCCCGCTGCTGAACTAAAAAAATGGCAACAACCTAAACGAATTTACAAGAAAATAAAAAGAGCGGTGGTTTTAGGCCACGTGGGTACGAATAATCATTTTAAAACCACGAGTTTCATGGAGCATCAAACAATAAGATATATGCATTTGTTCATCCTTTAAAATGTAATGTGTAGTTTAGCAGTCAAACCTTATTAATATTGAGAATCTCGTGTGAATTCTTGGAAATTAATCTGTTAAGAACTTTCTCAGTTTGCTCTCTTTCTTGAGAGCCTATCCCTGTTCCCTCCACAACAGGCAGAAACTGCATCCAAACACAAAATATGCATCACAATTTTTTACGATAATTATAAAGTAAACTGAAGCAAAAATGTACATCAACAGGCTGGTTCAGTTAACCTTGCGATATTTTCCTTGATGTTTCGCAGGTTTTTCTCCTGCTAACTTCTTGTCAAATTTTCCACCACTGGCTGTTGAAGTTGCTGCCATTCCAGCTACGTTTCCAAGTTCATCCTTGGTAATTTTCTTTGGTGCAGCTTGAGTTCCAGTTATAGGCAAAGCAGTGGCAGCTAGTTGAACGTGACTGATACAGTGAATTTTATGCTATCAAGAACAGATTGTGACGGGGAGGAAAGGAAGACATGATTGAAGATGAACACTAAGATGGGCAACTAACAGCATGGATGATGTCTTAAATGGAGTAGTTGACAAAAACATTTTTTGGAAAACGTTGATCTAAGTTAAAAAGTTGAAGAAATTCGTGTATAAACAACGAAGTGGGGTACAACTTATATCATATTCAATAACCAAAACTGTCTTGAGAGGTAAAACCTTGGTAGAGCGCCAACTTTTGCAGCCTGCTTCAGATTCTGTAACTGATTCCTTTCTTGTTTTTCAACTCGGTTTTTCTTATTGGCTCGCCTTGCAGCAAATGGATCCACCCCGGGCTCTGCAAGACAAATCAAGCATGCTCTTAACAGCCATTTCAGCTAATTTTACGTGTCTTAAGAACAAAGAGAAACCAGTAATTAAATTGGATCATCAGTTGGCTATCTGGATGTTGCAGATTTGTGCAAATTTGCAAATCAAGTTCACAAAAAGCAAAAACATAACTTTCTAGTCATCTTGGCCTCAATTATGGGTATGTTCACAAAAAGAATAAATAGCTAGTAGAACAAATCATCATAAAATACTACCATCAGTCATCTTGGCCTCAATTATGGGTATGTTCTCCTCATCATTTGCACGATCATAACCATGGCGACGTTTCCATGAACCCGTCTGATCATCATACACTATCTTATCTTTTTTACGATTCTTTATGCCTGCAAGAGTTTGAATAAAACAATAATTATGAATAAGTTCCACTTGGAAACAAATATATTGCCATCAGATTAACTAAGTTTGTGCTGCTATTTCTTGTTTCAGTAGTTCTATCCTCTTTTTTTCTTTGGAGGATGTGCTGTATCAAATATACCCTCTTTTTTTGGCACACAAAGCAACTGACCTCTTTTTTTGGCAAAAAGCTCCCATTTTGTAGGAGGTTTGGGCTTTGGCAACTGGAAAAAGAAAAGAAAGATCATCTCAGCCAAGAACTACAAAATTAACATTTGCAGCCGCTGCTCATGGATAAAGCACGATCAGTGACAGTGGTTACCAAGGGAAGAAATTTATAAAGTAGCACGAGGCCTTACAGGTTTCTCTCTCGGCAATCGTGTAGAAGGTGGAGGCAACCTCACGAGCGGACCATCTCTGTCTTCAGTTGAAGGCAGGTTGAAAAGATCATTAGCAATAAATTGAGCTAACTCTGCGCCCTTTTGCAGACATTCACTAACTAGATCCTCCCTAATAATCGAGCAAAAAAATAAATTAGGCGAAGATGGTACCGGTATTCTTCAAATAAAACAAGCAATTATATTTTTCCGAACATCAAAGAAGGAAGATAAATATTCACAGGTTAAGGATTTCTAATTTAATTGGCAATAATTTAACGCTTAAGAGTCAACAATGCAGACATAAATGTTCACGAACGTTCACCCAATGCTTATATCTACTAGAAATTCATCGTATGCGAAACAAAGGCCATAAAATCTGCACCATCGAATTTCAGAAAACAGTACAATGCAATGTGAATAGCATGGTATCGCAAAGCCAAAAAAATACATCCCGCCAGTGTTCTTCGACCTCAGTGTGACAAAACAAGAGAAATTCGGGGCAAAATTCTCTACAAACCTCGTTTCATCTGGCTACTTGAGATACGATATTCGAAAAAATTCGCGAGATAGTGCGTTTTTGGGAGGGAAGAACAAACTAACCTGGAGGAAGAGAGAGAAGGAAATTTATGGTGAGGATTGAACGCCATTAGATTCCCCAGGTCGATCTGAAACGGTTGTTGATTCTCCATCTCCATGTTCCGGCAACCCTACAACCTTTTCCGATTATGAGTTTGATGATTCTGCAATGTAAGGCTGTGGTAAACTGCCGACGACTGAGGACTAATCTCTAAAACCCTAGCTACCGTTTTTCTTCTCTATTTAATAATTTTTTTATTATTATTCAGGGGCAAAAGAAAATGATTTATACTTTATATAAATTAATATATGATTTTTTAAAATATCTAATATATTTATATTCTTGACTTTATTCTTCCTTTTCTTTTACTCAATAAATATGATAATTAAAATATATTTTTTCTCTCTAAAAAAATAAAATAAAAATAATAATTATAATAAGAAATCAAATTAGTCCATGAAAATATATTTGTAACACCCATGTTATATTATATTGTCTTTTGTGTACGGTTTCTAGGATGTCGAGTTTCGAATATCCGTCCTATATGTTCTAAGCTTGTCTCCTATGTGAGAAGTGAGCATGTGGTTGTGTCAATATCCCAAAAGTCTCTACCAAAACGTTGAATATGTAGGAAAAGTTACTGTAGTGTCTCGTTGTTGCGCTCTAACGCATAATATATTTAGGAAAAAACCTACACACTGTTGTATGCGGTATACGAAGGGAACACGTGCGTTTTAATTGATCTGCAAAAGTGTGTGCCCCATGTGAATTTACATTGAAGGATTCGTTGGCTTTTGCAATTTTTTCAGCATTACAACGCTATCGCCTTAAGACGTGAGCTTAATTTTTATGTGTTCTTTACTTGATAAATAGCCTTACAAATAGCGGGAACTAATGTTAGTTTAGGTATTGGTCCTCAATTATTGAATTCTTCTTTTAAAATGTTGGAAGATAAAAGTCCGTCTCTACTATTTTAGAAAGTTTCATATTAGTTAATCTAGGAAATGATCATGAGTTTATAAGTTATGAATACTAACTACATTGGTATAAGGTCTTTTTGAGAAGCTTAAAGCAAAACTACGAGAACTTATATTTAAAGTGGACAATATCATACTATTGTGAGAGTTGTGTTCGTAACTACATTTTTTTTTTTTTAATGTACCATAACCCTTCCTCAATCAGGCTTCTGGGTTGGGAGAGATGAAAGCGATTATATCAACAGACACGTTCGACCTGAGAACTTGATCTACCGAAACATGATTCATTTAACTTAAACACCGTGCACGCATTTGATATGTTTGAATTTCAACATTAGATCACCTGAAAAACTCGAGCAACTCAACTAACCTGGAAATTTGCTCTGTTTTTGCAACTTTCTAGAGAGAGAAAGCACATAGAACTTGAATTTCGATCTCTGAAGCTTCTCATAGAGAGAGAGAGAGGCTTGTATTTCTCGTTTCTGCAACCCTAAGAGTGAGAGGGGAAATGTTTATGCTTATTTTCTGCAATTTCATCGAAAGAAAGAGCGTAAGTTTTGTATTCTTGCAGCAAATTTCTACAAAAGAGGAAGAAATCATTCGAATTCTCTGCAAATTTTTAGAGAGAGAGAGAGATGAAAGAGTTCAGATCCAAATCAAAATTATGTTCTATAAGAGTCGAGAAGATCTGATCGTAAGCACAAGCAGAAAGTTTCAAAAAAACGCATTAAGTAGCGAAATGAAAGGCGAAGACAGATCAAACCGACTGAATCGAGAAGAAAACGGCTGCCGCTTTTGCTCTTTTCCTTCCCCGATTTCTCTGTCCTTCCGTTTCCTTTTCCGTTCGAACAGCCTTTTTTGAATTTTGAATTTCCCCTCCTCGCCCCTATCCCCGTTCTTGCAGTCATTTACGGAATTGCCCCCATAAATCAATATTCATTCAATAAAAATGTTACTTTTTACTTTATTTCTCAATTTATTACTAATTAAGATGGGTGGTCCCGAAGCTTCCTCTCCCCGAGCAAGTAAGACGAGATCACCACTTTTCTCAGTAATGGACTTCCTTCCGCTCTTCCTTACTTGGCCTTATATGTCCATTCATAGATTCTCGAACCTCCGAGCCAACCAAGTTCTTGTCTAGTCCAAGGATGAAGATCATTCGGGAAGAAAGCCTTCCTTCTGATTTAAGGCTTTAAGGCGACTCTCTCCATTGGTATGAGGTCTTTTGAGAAGCTCAAAAGAAAGCCATAAAAGCTTATGAGTCTGAACAATATCACATCATCGTGGAGAATTGTGTTAATTTAACATGGTATTAGAGTCATATCAATAAAATCCCTAAATGTCAATGATAAACTCAAAAAAAAAAAAAAAAATCAAGCCGTAAGGGAGACGTACTAAGGCTAGTGGAACTAATATTATCGATAAAATTGGGGGAATTGAAATAGTTTTAAAATTTATTGGTATAGTTAAATGTTTTTTTAAAGTTTGAATATTTAATAATTTAACTAATTAATTTAAAAATATATTGTTAATCGTTGAAATAAAAAAAAATAATATATATAATCGTAAAATATCAAGGGGCAGTTACGTAATTATGTGACAAGATTCTACCCTTTTTGTAAAATAGAGGTTCAAAGAATATAAATGGGCCCCACAAAAGCAGTAATTCTTTCGTTCACAAACAGCAGGCAGCAGCAGAACCAAAGAAGAGTAGATTAGTGTACAAGCACGAGGCAGCTACTGACACCAAAAGGTTGCTTTTTTTTCCCCTCCTTTTCTTTGGCTCCATCTTCCATTTCCATTTCATTTACTTCATTTTCGATAAAGTTGCTTAAATTTGCAGCTCTCTCTCTCTCTCTCTCACACACACACACCCTGTTTAGGGTTTCCTCTTCTGCGATTGCCAATACCACAGGTGATTCGTCTCCATTCTTCTTATCTCATTTACATTTTGTGTATCTTTGAAATGTATCAAATATTGTGTCTGTGTTACTTACTTTGAGTTGCTACATTTCCGTTTTTGTGTTCCAGATGCTTGAATCGTGCGTTTAAGTTGTCACATTGAGGAGGTAGTTACTGAACTGTTCTGTGGATTGGTTTTGGTTCGAGTTTGTGTTGTGCGTTTTCTGCTTGTTCTTTCATGTTTTTTGTTCTCCCTTTTTACTGTTTGTTATTTTGAAATTTGTTACTGATGTTGGGTTTTCTTATGTGTCACTGTATCTTGTTCTTTGAAATTTTATGTGGGGAACAGGGTGATTTTGGAGCTTGAGAGTCTGAAAGAACGAAATGTCGTCCAGAGGGGGATCTGATCAGCCTCCTCCACTGCAGAGGAGGATCACGAGGACGCAGACGACGGGGAACCTCGGCGAGTCAGCGTTTGACAGTGAGGTTGTTCCATCGTCGCTCAAGGAGATCGCGCCGATCCTGCGTGTGGCTAATGAGGTTGAGTCGAGCAATCCCAGAGTTGCTTATCTATGTAAGTTTGGACCAATGCTGTAATGTTGATAGGCTCTTATCTTGGTGTATTCAGAATTCTAAGATGAACCAGTATCATAACTTAGTACTTGCTGCTTGTTTTGAAAAATTGCTGCTTTTCTTCTTGATTTTTTTTTTTTGATGCTAAACTCCTAACACTTATTGTTTGATAAGAAATATCAAACTCTAACACTAGTTTGGTCCTGTTGAATTGGAGCCGTTTTTGTGGTTAGTTTATTGGCTCTTAATTTTTTGGGCATATTTTTTTTTGTATGCCTTTGTATTCTTTCATTTGTTCAATAAAAGTTCGGTTTCTTACCAATTGTTGTATCAATTCAGACGTCGGTTACAATTCAGCTTACAATGTGGGGCTACACAAACAAGTTTTGTAATGGCTCAAGCACACTGCTAGCAAATATAGTTTTCTTTGGGATTTCCCTCAAGGTTTTTAAAACGCGTTTGCTAGAGAGAGGTTTCCACACCCTTATAAAGAATGCTTCGTTCTCCTCCCCAACCGATGTGGGATCTCACAATCCCACCCCCCTTCGGGGTCTAACGTCCTCGCTAACACTCATTCCCTTCTCCAATCGATGTGGGATCCCCCAATCCACCCCTTCAGGGCCCAGCGTCCTTGCTGACACACCGCCTCGCGTTCACCCCCTTTGGGGCTCAGCCTCCTTGTTGGCACATCGCCTAGTGTCTGGCTCTGATACCATTTGTAACAGCCCAAGCACACCGCTAGCAGATATCGTCCTCTTTGGCTTTCCCTTTTGGGCTTTTGCTCAAGGTTTTTAAAATGCGTATGCTAGGGAGAGGTTTCCAATCCCTCATAAAGAATGTTTTATTCTCCTCTCCAATCGATGTGGGATCTCACAAGTTTATGTCCTTTTACCTTGTGCTACACCTTTGTGCATTATGATTCTGAATTTATGTCAAGCTGCTTGATTAGGAGTTGTAAGTCTCTTCGCTTAAATTGTTGATGGTCCATATGGTTTGCTTGCCAGCTTTTTTAGTTTGAAACTCTGAAGTATTGACTTAACTTCAAATCAACGAATTGATGCATGTTGCGTGCAGCTTAACCTGCTTTTTTGGTTCTAGTCAATGTACTTCAAGCAATCTAACTGGTTTTTTGACAACAATGCTATTCTAGTTTAAGGTGGTTGACTTAGAGTTCTGGTTTAGGGTGGTTGGCTTAGGCTCTCATCGTTTAGTTCTTGGACCTATACTACTGTATTTTCTAGAAGCCACAAGCCAGAGATATCTGTGCTTGATTTACCTATCAACATTCGAGGTGGCAACTTGAGTCTCAGTATATGCATTGAAACTTTTAGTGCATTTTTTAAGGAACTCAAATCAAATGTATGGATGATCAGATTTTCTGTTTTTTTTTTTTAAAGTTTTTGGGCCATATTTTTAATCTATGTATTTTGTAATTGTAGGTCGGTTCTATGCATTTGAGAAAGCCCACAAGTTAGATCCAACTTCAAGTGGGCGTGGTGTTAGGCAATTTAAAACTGCTTTACTCCAACGGCTTGAAAGGGTTAGCTCTCTCTTCTTTTATTTTTTCCCTTAATTTTTCTTTTCTCATGAGTAGTTTGGAATTTGGATCTATATTCTTGTTTTTATTTATTTTGAAGCGAGTTTGATGATTAATTTCTGGATTTTTAGTTTACGGATCTCAAGTGCAACCAATTTTTTTTAGAACACTACATTGACTCTCAACTAAATCACAGAAAAATCATCTACTTAGAGTGTGTATGGTAATTATGTTCATTTTGGTTAGGATTATTAGCTTGTTAATCTTTGCTCATTGTTCCCGTTTCTTTCCAACCCTTGTTATCATTGCTTTCATGGATCACTTGGATCGGGTTTTATACATTTTAATTTTTGCTATGGAAGAGCCCTTTCTAAGTGAGAATATGTTGAGCTGTCTTATTTTTGTCTCATTTGTTGCGGTTTCATCTTCATTCAAATTCCTTTATTGGTCACATTTGGTTGTTTGCTTTTAGGGTGTATTTGCATGCCAATCTTGCTTCTCATTTTTCCCTTTTTACCTTCTCATTCTATTCTCCATGTCAATTCATAACTATCTCTAAATTGGTTGCGCTACAGCTTCTTGAACTGGTGGTTCATAGAGGACCACCACTATTATTTTATCAAGGGATACTCCTTATGGCTTTGGGTCTTGAGTAATGTAATGACCCAAATCCACTGCTAGCAGATATTGTCCTTTTTGGGCTTTCCTTTTTGAGCTTCCTCACAAGGCTTTAAAACGCGTCTACTAGGGGAAGGTTTCCACACCCTTATAAATGGTGATTTGTTCTCCTCCCCAACCAATGTGGGACATCACAATCCACCCTCCTTCGGGGCCCAGCGTCCTCGCTGACACTTTTTCCTTCCTCCAATGTGGACGCTGGGACCATCCCCTTTGGGGCCTAGCGTCCTTACTGGCACACTGCCTCGTGTCTACCCCCCTTCAGCGAACAACGAGAAGGCTGACACATCGTCCAGTGTCTGGCTCTGATACCATTTGTAATGGCCCAGATCCACCGCTAGCAGATACTGTCCTCTTTGGGCTTTCCCTTTCGGGTTTCCCCTCAAGGCTTTAAAATGCGTATGCTAGGGGAAAGTTACCACACCCTTATAAATGGTGGTTTGTTCTCCTCCCCAACCAATGTGGGACATCACAAGTAACGTGTTCTTTCTAAGTGGGCAATGAAGGTTATTGGCCACATTTTACAATAGTACCATTTTGAAACCCAAATTTGGAAGTTACTTTCTTGGAGCATTTTGGCACTTGTTTGGCTGAGAGTAGATTTATTGAACTATGCCATATAAGAAGTCCTTTATATATATAAGAACTTTGAACCTCATTCCTTTATATATACATATTCAAAAGGGGAGAGGCAGCCAAAGGGTCGGGGGAAGAGGGAACCCTTGCCCAAGAACTAAATGATGAAATCCTCCCAATCATAATAGTACAAAAGAAATTTTGAATGCAAAGAATTCCGCCAAGAGGTCTAGTTCTTTAGATAATTAGAGGCACAAAAGATGAATTTGACCCCAAGGCCTGTGAGTAAGATAGTAGCAGTCTTGCTAATGAGCCATGACCCAGCTTGGGTTCCTATTTTGCTTCGAAAGAACAGATTATTTGTTATGCTTATGTAAATTTTCATATATTTCTGTGTGTGTGTTTAGTAGTTGCTGTATGTTTCTTTGGTTACTATTTCAATTTGTTTGCTTACGTTATTATTGTCCGACTGCAGGAGAATGATCCAACCTTAATGGGAAGAGTAAAGAAAAGTGATGCCCGTGAAATGCAGAGCTTCTATCAACATTATTATAAAAAA